ACTTATATTTTCATCAGTCAGACTTAGACCTATAGATATCACAGCCTATAGCTATTTACTCCTTTTGCCATGCCTTTCTAGCCATCCTCCTTTGCCCTTTTCTAGTTTCCCTTTCCCAGCTACCGTTTTCAGCTAACCGATTAACCGATTATAACTATTTATAGCTATGATCTTAGGTTAATCGGCACTAGGCCAGTTATTAGCAGTTAGGTAGCCCTTTTCGTGCCTCCGTCAGCGTGCCTACGCTGCTCCTGTTCAATAATACCGCCTAGATTTCTTAATTAATCCTTTCGGAGCCTTCGTTTATTTCAAGGTAATAAGCCGTACTTAGTTTTTACTTTATACCTATTAAGCGGTAAAGATAACTCTAGAAACGGCTTAGTTAATTCGATTTTCTATCGCTTACGATACTTCTTAATTAATTATAATATCGGACGTAATACGCTAGGAAGCGTTCCGTATACGCTTTTACGTTTATAATAAGCGTAAGCTCGAGAATTATAGTTTTACTTAAGCGGTTCTTAATTATTTATATATATCGGTTACCTTTCGATAGGGATAAGTTTACGATAAAGTTTATTTATATATCCTTAAAGTAGCGGTTCGATATAGGAAAAGATTTAAGAAACCCTTTTTTATATTTTTTTATAGCTTAGAACGGCCGTAAACGTTATAGTTACGAATAAACCTCCTTACGTATTAATAAAGTATCGGTTCGTAGAAGTTTCGGCTTGGGATCGCTATAATACCTTTCCGACCGGGGTAGTTAATAACGTATAAGTCGTAGGCTTTTTAAATTATTTTCGTCCGTAGTTCGTTAAGTTAGTCCGTACCTAGGGAGTTTATTCCCGCGTTTCCGAAAGGCGGACCCTCCGGTACTTATATCCGGTTCTTAAATAATAACCGTCCTCCGGCGTTTATCGTATATTCCGTGATTTATATCTTTAGCTTTATAGTCGGGGTAAAGAAGCGGGCGTTTTATTTTACTGCTTAATACGCTTATTAATATAGCGTATCGAGGTATGCTATTTTCTTTTATAGGAATTAGAGTTCGTTATCTTTAAAAACTCTAATATCGGGCCCGGCGGGCTAGAACGTTATTATTACGTAGGTTTAGTTTTAAAGAGCCCTTTCGGAAATAAGCTATAAATACCGTAACTCCTTATCGTTAACGCTTAACCGGTCTTAGTCCTTTCGGAAGAACGCGTCGAGAACTACGGCTTAATTATTAGCGCGGTAAACGAAGTTAAAGTTATACCGGGATAGAAGCTCCGCCTAACGCGCTTACCGCTCCGAAAAGCGCTAGCGGGTTATAAAATATTCGAGGTTCTTATAGTCGGTTAAGATAGTAAATTTCTTATAGCTCTTTAGCTTAGCGTCTTATTATTTTAAGTACTTAATAATAACTAATATTTCCTTATTATAAATCGGATAGTTAATTTCAGCTAGCTTTAGCTTCTAAGAATAATAAGCTACTACCTTTCTCCCTCCCCCGGCTTATTAGGATAATACGTCGCCGAGCGCTTACCTTAAGTAATTTACTTTTAAAAACGTTAGCTTATCTAGGTCTTATTACGTTAAAATAAGCGCCGACGTAAATAAGGTCTTTAGGCGTTAAAACGCCTTTTCGTAAATAAGGTCTTATTTAAAAGGTTAATTCTTCTTTATTAAAGCCGTAAGAGGAGCGGTAATCTCGGAAAATCCGGGGATAAATATATAGTAGTAATTAACGAACCCTAGGAAACTTTTAATTTCCTTTATTAAGGTAGGAGCCTCTTAGTTTAGTATTACTTTTATCTTTTCCGGGTCCGTTTATACTTCCTTACCGGCGTATATAATAAACCCTAGGTATTTAATAATCGTTATTACGAACTCGTACTTCCCGGGGTTTAAATAAAAGCCGGCTTCGTAAAGGCGCTCTAAGATTATACGTACTTTAGCTATATAGTTCTTACGGAACCCGCTTATATAAATAAGGATATCGTTTATATAAGCGCTAACGAAGTTATCGAAAAACCCCTTTAAAACGTTATTTATATATCTTTAGAAGGTTACCGGGGCGTTTATTAACCCGAAGGATATTACTAGCTATTCGAATAAACCGTATCGGGTTTTAAACGCCGTTTTAAATTCGTTACCTTCCGTAATACGGACTTTATAAAAAGCCGCGACTACGTCTACCTTCGTAAACTACTTTACCGACGTTAGGTTACGTAAGGTATCGCCGATAAGCGGAAGCGGGTAACGGTTCCTTCGGGTTAAGCGATTTAACGCCCGATAATCGTAGTAAAATCGGAGGCCTCTTCTTAACTTACGGGCGAAGAGAACTAAGGCTCCTACTTCCGAATTACTAGCCCGGATAAACCCCTTATCTAATAAGTCGCGAAGCGTTTTCCGTAATACTAGGAGCTCTTCCCGGAATATCTTATATAAGGAACTCTAAGGTAATAACTTCTTCCTTCCGTCTAGTCCTTTCTTTATATCGATCTTATAATTAACGCCCGGGCGATACGGGGCGAAACGGTTAGCTTCTTCTTTCTTTTATAGCGGGAATAGGTCGTAAAATCCCCGTAGGATTATTTCTCGTAGCTCCGCCTTTATTTTTACGGGCTTTAGCTTTAAGGCTTTTTTTATATCTATTAAGGAAGCTATAAATATCGACATACCCTTCGTATTTATTCCTTCTTTCTTACGGCGGCGTATCCTTTTAATTAAGCCTACGAACGTATTAATTAATACGTACTAAGCCTTTTCTAGCTCTTTTATAAGCGGGGTCGTACGTTCCTTTCCCTTATATTATACGTTTATTCGTACTTTTCCGTACTATAATCGATTTTCGTATAGGTACGAAACTACCTTGTTATATATCTACTACGGTTTTCCTAAAATTATTCGGAATTTTAATAACGGAATAACGTATACGTATATTAGCTACGTATATCCGTTAATCTTTAAAGCTATATAGGTAATTCCTTAGATTACTACTTCTTTTATAATGCTTAAAGCGCCTCTAATGCTACGGGAAGAAATAGAAATAAGGAATAAGTTAAAGAATCTAAATAAGTCCTTACTAATAACTATAAAATATAAGTAACTTTCGTTTATAAGGGCTTCCGATAGTCACGTTTTATTAACTATAATTAATAATAACGAGGGACTACTTTTTATTTTATCCTTATAGGCTTTTTATTTATTTACTACTTTTTAGCTAGGCTCCGTTACCTAACTTCGTAACGGAGCTATTCTTTTCCTATCGTTATATTAGCTAATATATTCTCTAGTTCTTCTAGTAATAATTCGATAACTTACGTTATCCGTACCGGTACGGGCGGGAACCGCCCTTAGCTACCCGGATAAGCTACCGGTAGGTAGGAGTAATTCCTAACCTAGTATTAACTAGCGCCGTAACGAAAGTAGCTACCTTAAACCTTTTTCTTTTCGTATTCTTTTTAAAGTACTTACCTTACCCGTCGGGTACTACCGCTAAGCCCGTTATTAAACCCGCCGTAAGCTTAGCGAGGCCTTCCTTATGATTTAATAAAGCCTACTATAATCGTATCGCCTTAAGTATTTATTCGGGCGAAGTCCGAGCGTTAAATAACGGATATTAATACGTAGCTTAAGGTCGCCGAATAGTATTTATTTTCGTTTAATTAATTTACGAATCGCTTAAATTCGGCGGTTTATTCGTAGCGTTACGCGATTAAGTAAATTTAAGCGATAAAGGTATCGTAATCTTAAGATATTTAAATTAGGATTAATATATTTTAGAGGTAGTTAGATAATATTACTTTTAACTACGTTAATTTACTATCGTTATCTTAGTTAAAGCCTCTAACGTTCGTTATAACCTCTTCGAAATCGGATAGAAAGCTTCCAAAGGTCTTCCCTTCTTTCTACCGTAGTTTCCGTAGTTTCTATTACGTATCCTCCTTAACCTAAATATTATTAAACGTTTCTTTTATATACCTTAATAAGTCCTTAGGTTAAAATCCGCCCTCTAGGCCGTTAAATCTTTAGAAGTATTCTATTTTCCGTTACCGATCCTCGGGTATCGTACCGAAAATAGAATACTATATCGCGTTATTATTACCGAATAACCCATTTAAGGCGTCGATTAAGATTTTCGCTTATAGTTTTTCTAAGTAGAAATAAAACGATATAGCTTTCCCGTTCCATTCGTACTACTTAAGAAGTTTTCGTTAAGTTCCGTTTACGCCCGTAGGTATAATAACTATAACCTTCGGTACGGGTACGGGTACCGGTAGTACGGATACTAGGGAGTTACTTCGTAAGAAATCGGTTATATATTCTTTTATAGAGTTTAAGAAGTAAGGGTCTTATAATAATACGTAATAGGCTAACGTCGCCTCCTAAGCGCTCGATTACGCCTAGGCTTTAGACTTATCTTCCGCTATCTAGGAGTCGGATATCGGAAGTCTAAGTACTAACCTTACGGAAAAGATAGTATAGCTTTTTATTACGGTTTCAAGAGCTATTCGCTAAGTAAAAGGATATAAATTAAAGGAATAAAGCTATACGAGGAGGAAAAGGAAGAAAGATACGCTTTATTAAGGCCGCGACTTTAGGAGCTAGCTATATATAAGAGGAGTAGTTACGTACCCTAGTACTATACTAACCAAGGTTCTATGACTAAGCGTAGCTCATTATAACGTTAACGTAAAAATTTCAACTAGTTTCGTATTTATAATAAATAGTTTTATATAAATTACAAGTTTTCTATACATAATTTCTTACGTCTTTTAAGATTTTTATTATAAATAAAGTTCATAGCATTAAAAATAGTTATTAAATAAACTAAATATATTCTTATATCTCTCTATACTATAAATATATTATCATTTTTAGCGTTTACGTTAAAAATAAGCCCGAATCATTCTACGAAGTAGAATAATTAAGGCATTATTTTAAATTAGACTTTATTATGCATTGCTTTACCAATAGGCCTAACTGCAATAGGCTTAGGTGGCTCGTAGTGGCGTGCTCTTGCTGATTCTCTCAGCATCGTAAATCTTCAACTAAATATCTCCCTCTCCCTTCTATGCCAAGGCACAAGAGCTTAGAAGACACCACGTTACGACTACCCGCTGCAATGGGATATCATCTCGTACACATTCTCCGGCAAAGATGCAGACTTCATCATGGCCTCTACCGCGCACTACCGGCTTCTCGGGCGCGGATGGTTCACCACCCTTGTCAACCCTTACAACTTTGCCTCCAACTGGGCCGGCCTTATAGTCGTTACCGCCAACGTGGCTGCTCGCCAGAGTTTGTGGTTAGAATGACTATATGGCCCTTCATCGGCCTCAACTGCCTCGTCTTCTCTTGGTGGAGTTGGGAACACTATCGTTCCCTCACTGGCACTTTCAAGAATACCCCTGAGGCCTCGTACACGGACACGGTCGATAAATTACGGAAGCATTACACGCTGAGCCTAGAAAACTTGCACCAAGGCCGTTGGTATACCTTGCTCACGAGCGCCGTTAGCCATAACAACCTGCCACATCTGGCCTTCAACATGATCAGTTTCCACGCCTTTACTTCCTGTGCCGCGTGGTCTGGTCTGGGCTTAGGCACTATATGGACACTATGTTTAGGATCGGCCGTGTCTTGTGGTGTGGCGACGGTCCTAGATTGGCAACGCAAGGGCTTATCTGACATCTATGCCCTAGGTGCCAGCGGCATTGTCTCGGGTGTGGGGGCGGCGATGGCGTGTATGGTACCATTAATGCCATTCCGAGTTTTCTTCCTTCCTATCGACATCCCCCTCTGGATGTTGACACTGGGATACATCGGATATGACTCCTACTCATTAAAGGCCGAGAATACCAAGGTCGGCCATGCCGGCCATCTTGGTGGTGCTGCTTTCGGCGTTCTCTTCTATACAATTGCACTTCGCAGGTTTGGTGGCGTGTCAGACCTTTGGCGTTTTATAGCTAGATTTGGTCTTAGGAGGAAGCGGCTAGATGTTCCCCCACCATTGAAACCGCGGGGTCGTAACCTGAATCAACCAGCTAAGCCGCTCAGAAAGACAGGTCGGGAAAGAAGGAATCAATGAAGTTAACCAATTATTATTTTTAGAAGATAATTATTATATGTTAACTTATTCATTTTTTGTTTATTTCTTATTAAATTATAATGTTTTTATTTATATTTTATTAGCTTTTAAAAATTATCAGCTAATAAGAATGAGAGATAAACTTTACGTATTCTTATATATTAAAATCTATTATAAAATATAATGTTACGTAGCTATATGAAGGAGCTACGTGCGCGAGAGCGCGCGTAGAGAGCCATCTCACGAGCAACGGGAGGAGGAGCGAAAGGAGAGAAAAGGTCTTAAATCTATCTAAGAACGAGCCAAAGGAGTAAAAGCAACGGAGCGTATATATAGGAGCTCCTGTTGCTGAGGTAAGCAACGAAGAGGCGCAACCTCTACGTAACATATAATAATATTAAGAGCCTTACTTTAGTAAAGTATTTAATTTACTATATGTTATATAATAACATGCTACTTTTCTATTAGGCTACTTTACTTTTATTTAAAAAAAGGTATTACTTTTTATTACTTATAGTCTGATTAGTATATATTAAAGAATAAATTAAAAAAAGTAGCGTTAGTACGTTATATTAAAGACCCGTATAATAATTACCAACTACTAATAACTAGCCTAGTACTTATTAAACTAAATTATAGTTATAAATTGTAATCATTAATTCATTAGTTAACTAAAATGGTTACTAAGAAAGAGATTAAAAAAGAAAAGGCTAGAAAGAGGTTGAAGGTATATTAAAAAAAGGAGTAAATAACTATATATAAAGGTTTATTATAAGTTTATATCACGTAGGCATGCGCCCTTAGTGGGAACCACCTAGCTTACCTAAGCTGGTTGAGTACTACTATATATACTCGTAGATTGCTCCATACTCTCTAGTAGCTTTCCTTCTTTCTAGTTAGTTAATATATACTTTCTTACCCGCATTCCATTGCTCTCTTTACGCGTAACCTATCAGCCCATACGTAGCTCTCGCTAGCTACGTAATAGTTATAAGCCCGGTTAGCGCTCCAAGGTACTAGTAGCTTAGTGGTTCGGTTCCTTTAATTATACGTATACGGCAAAATACAGCCCCTTACGCGGAGCCCTAGAGCTAGACTAGAACTAGTAGTAAGGCGTTGCGCCAAGAGGTCGGGGGTTTAATTCCTATGTCGAGTAGTTATTAGACCTAGCTAGTGTAACTAGCGCCGAGAAGTATGCGACTAGCGCCAAGAGAGGTAGAGGGTTTAACACCGCGAGTAAGTAGTTATTAACCTACTTATTGGAGGTATTTAAAAACTAGGGGGTGTGTTACGTAGTAATTAAATCAGTCTATATAAGCCTATATACCGCAAAGCGTAAATATAGGCGTCTATATTTTACGCGATAGTTATAAGCCCGGGGCTCTTCTAAAGAGCTATTATTACATAGGTTATTCTAGCGCAAGCAAGTATTACATATTCATTTATCTCTTAGATCTTATAATCATTCTCCCTTCTTATTTCTATACCAGTACGCTACTCTCGCATTAAGTATTAGATAATTACTTACCTATTCGCTATAACGATTAATACGTCCGAATTCTCTTTAGATAATATTCTAGTTAATATTTACTTACGAGATTATAATAAATAGCTACGTTAGTTCCTTGCGCTTAAGTTAATAGCTACTTAGATTAGTATCTAGAAGGACGTTAATCTTGATGGAGCTAAGTTTAACCCTAGTCGAGTCGTGGTAGGTATTCTTAAAGAGTATATTACTTAAGAGAACGAACTCCTTAAGGAAAACTATAAGAAAGCTATTTACGAATAGGTATCGATCGTAACCGAAGACCGAGGAGATTAACTATTAAGACCTAAGGCTCGAACTCGAGAGTAATAAACGGCTTCGTATAATAAGCTCGTTTCCTAGTAAATAACGATCAAGGCTTAGGTTATAAATACTAGTAAGTAATATAGGGTTCTTGTCACGTAGGCATGCACCCCTAGTAGGAACCACCTAGCTTACCTAAGCTGGTTAAGTACTACTATATATACCTATAGATTGCTTTATACTATTTAGTAGCTTTCCTTCTTTTCTAATTAGTTAATATATACCTTCTTATCCGTATTCTATTACTTCCTTTACGCGTAACCTATTAACCTAAACGTAACTCTCGCTAGCTACGTAATAGTTATGAACCCGGGGCATTTCTCAGGAGCTATTATTATTTAGGTTGTTCTAGCGTAAGTAAGTAATATATATTCATCTATTTCTTAGATCTTACGATTATACTTCCTTCTTATATTTCTATACCGGTACTTTACTTTCGTATCTAATATTAAATAGTCGCTTACTTATTTCGTTATAACGATTAATACGTCCGAATTCTTTCTTAATAAGATTCCTATTAACGTTTACTTACGAGCTTACTATAAGTAGCTACGTTAGTTCCTTACGCTTAAGTCGATAGCTACTTAGTTCGGTATCTAGAAGGACGTTAATTTAAATAGAGCTACGTTTAACGCTACTCGAGTCGTAGTAGGTATTCTTAAGGAGTATATTACTTAAGAGAACGAACTCCTTAAAGAAAACTATAAGAAAGCGGTTTACGAGTAATGTAGTAGTACAGTGGATCTAGGCTACGTAGCCTTTTCGATATATATTTATATGGGTCGCGTATTTATATTTTCATTAGTAAGACTTAGACCTATAAACATTAGGACCTATAGCTATTTACTCGTTTCTTATCATGCCTTTCTAACTATCCTCGTTACCCTTACCCCTTCTCTAGTCTCCCTTTCCTAGCTGCCGTTTTTAGCTAGCCGATCAACCGATTATAGCTATTTATAGGTATGATCTAGGGTTAATCGGTACTAGGTTAGTTATTAGTAGTTAGGCAGTCCTTTTCGTGCCTCCGTTAGCGTGCCTACGCTGCTCCTGTTTAGTAGCGACCACCTAGTAGCCCGAGCCGCAACCTTATTAGTCTTAGGAGCGACCTTTTGCGACCGTTTTTGTAGTTATTAGATTCAGGATTCGTCGATCAGGAGATCCCCAGAGTTTCGTTTGATTAGGAGCTGTTTTCGTAGCTCCAGAGCCGTTTTCGTAGCTTTTAGCCTTAGCTTTTCAGGTCAGGTCAGGATCAATAGGGAGGGCAGATAACCATGGCGACCATCAACAACCACGCCCTCCCATTAGCTTTTAATCAGCTTACTTAAAAGCTCGTTCGCCGATAAGTGGATATATCTTATCCTCGTTTTTCAATTGTCTCTTTTAAAGGAGCTATGCCCGTTTTTATCTGGTTTCGCCTTCGTTTTTCAAGTGCCTAAATGGCCGTTTTTCTCAGTTAACCTGACTCCGTTACCGCCACCACCCCCTTTTTTACAACACGCGCTTGAAGGCAGTTAGTCCTTTCCGATCGGTTTATTTCAATTGCAAGAGGCTTACCGATAGCTCAATTGCCCTTGTTTTATCCCTTCTAGCTAATTACGGCACCTGGGGAGGTCTCTCCTTGCCTCCCTAACCGATAAGGTGCCACGATGCCTTTAATTACTATACGAAGATACCGACAGACCTTATACCTACGCCATAAGCCTGATCGGGGACGTACCGATTAGGATTAAGAGACCCATATAGACGATACCGCTATACGAAATAAATAAGATATTAAATAAAACAGCCTAGAAGATTAAGAATAGCTATAGGAATAGTAATGCCTAGAGACCCCTCTTATCGCCCTTACCGATATATAGTTAGTAGGAAGAGCCTAGAGAGCCCCTAGAACCACGTATAGGGGAGGGATCGAGGGTTAAAGGAAGCCCGGTAGATACTACCGGACGAATATAAGAACGGTTATACGAGAACAGCCAAACGAGTTATAGAAACGGGCCTTGAATAGGATATATTAGTTAGTTTATAGGATCAGGATTAGTTAAAAGGATTAATAGCCATAGACGAGAAGGACGGAGATTACGTTGCATTGTATGGAATTGTTTCTTTGTTTCATTCGTGAGCTACTGAACAGGAGCAGCGTAGGCACGCTAACGGAGGCACGAAACAAGGGCTATCCAACTACTAATAACTAGCCTAGTGCCGATCAACCAAGATCACAGCTATAAATAGCTATAATCGGTTAATCGGCCAGCTAAAAACGGTAGCTAGGAAAGGGAAACTAGAAACGGGTAAAGGAGGATAGCTAGAAAGGCATAATAAGAAACGAGTAAATGGCTATAGGTTATAATGTCTATAGGTCTAAGTCTAACTAATGAAAATATAAGTACGCGACCTATATAAATATACATCGAAAAGGCTACGTAGCCTAGATCCACCGTACTACTATAGCCTCCCTAGTTTAATTAATCCGTAAGGAGCAATTAAACTCCTAACAGTAATAGGTACGGTGGCTCTCGTTCCTATTAAACCTAATCAACCTAATCCCGATTAACCCTAATTAACTAAAAGCTAGCCAGTTTAATTAAAGGCTAATAGAATAAGTTAGGAAGAAACAGGTCTTTAACTGGAAGCGATTATAACAGCAACAAGTAGGTGGTAGGGTAGGTAACTATAACCGTACCTGATCCTAAACCTAAACCTATTCAATCCTAAACCTATTTAATCGTTACTAACTAGGAGCTAAGCTAGTTTAATTAACGATTAATAGGAAACAGGAAAGATCTGATAATAAGAACTAGGCTAGCGGAGCTATAACCTATAAACTAACCTAATTAACCTATTCCTAATTAACCCTGATTAACTAGGAGCGAGCCAGGTCCATTAGGGCCACCAAGAAACAACAGGGATCAATCGGAAAATAGGAACTATAACGGGCAGGTAAAACAAGCGTAGCTCCCGTAAGAAACGAAAGAAACAATCCCATACGATGCAACGTAATCCCGTCCTTCTCGTCCATAACTGGCTTTGCCGATCCTTTTAACTAATCCCTAATCCTATAAACTAACGTAATATATCCTATTTAATGCCCGTTTCTATGACTCGTTTCTGGCTGTTCTGGTATAACCATTCCTATATTCGTCTAGTAGCATCTACCGGGCTTTCCTTAACCCTCGATCCCTCCCTTATACGTAGTTCTAAGGGCTCTCTAGGCTCTTCCTATTAACCATATATCGGTAAGGGCGACAAGAGGGATCTCTAGGCAATCCTAACTATTC